GAATTGTGATGGTAGCGGAAATTAAGTATTATCCTAGAATAGGACTCCTTTCTGTACAATTTCTTCTTTAGCCTTCCATTAGAACGAATTACTTCAACGTCCAGGAGCGGCAACCGCTCACCTATTGTGAATTGAATTTTCGCATCAATCTTGAACCAGGGAGATAGCAGATGGATCCTACGAGGCAAGAGGAAGACTAAGACCTAAGGAAGGAGGACTGTGTATCAATATGGCAGATCATGATCAACATTCCCAGCGCAAGGATGAAGGTGGGTGAGGTGAGTGTGAAAGCAAGCGTGGAGAGTGGAGAGCACTCATGCAAGCCTCTCAAAAAGGCACACCATACCACATTTAAATGAGCGAGGCAAGAATTATGATGGTGACGAAGATATAGGATTGATGATTAGCCCAGGGGGGGAAGGAAAGATACCACGATTGTTTAGCAGACAATTGGTCAAAGGATTGGCTTCACTTTTCCCTTTGAAGAGTTGTAGCGTGGTGCTAAGACTGGCAAGATTTACTTACGATGTCGACTACGGCACCGGCGAAACGTCTGGGAATCTACCACGTCCACGTTCCGACTCTGGAATCTATCATGCATTTTCTGGACTCCGTTCCTCTAGGTCTTCCTACCAAAATGACTAAGTTGTGAAAACAAAGTCAAACAACCTCTTATCTACTATTGTTGTAAAAACCTATATTGTGTTAAATTCAGAAACTAATTTGCCAATTATTTATTTTTTTCATCCCCTTTCACTGCATTTATGTATTTGCCATACTCAATTTACAATCATAGAGAAAGTCTTCCCTCTGCTTGATCTTCTCCGTTGTTTGGCCTGTACATCAGTTGTCTCCCACTTGCTTTTCATTGGACCCTCGACTCCCACGACTGATAATACCACTTCTCTCCCCAACGCCGCTCCTCCATTCACGAATCTACTTCGACTCAGCCTTCGTCAGACTGATTTGCCCTCAACCAACTGTCTCTTAGTGTTGCGCCTTATCGCTAATGGTCTGGCCACTCTCTGCGCCGACTCTCTTGCTACTGAGACCAATGACGACAATAGAATCACCGACCTTTCAACTGGACTCACCTATCTTATCGAGTGTGCTAATGAAGTTGCTCAACTGGTTACTGATCCTACCCGACTTCAGTTAGAGTTGAAGAAGCAGCATCAGGTGAATTAATCTCTACCCATCTGCTACATTATGTTCATACACTTTTGGCTGATATGTTCAGAGATTCACAGTTGTGGATTAGGGCATAGTTTGATATCCGTATATATATATATATATATACGAATTAATTAGCTAGTAGATTGGCAAATACAATGGACAAAGCAACTCTATAAAACATCACGGATAGTAGGATTGACGAATTAAGTAAATAAATCGGGCGCTCCTTCTTCTCTTTGTTACTTCTTTGTACTCCTCTTCACGCCTCATCCGCACCTGCCTCATGAAAAGATCGGTCGAACTTCGTATTATTAATGCTGCCCTTATCCAGTATTTAAAACAAGGTAAAGCCCTCCAACGACCGTGTAGTTAAGTCTGATCTTATAATGACAGGATTATTTGCTTCATGGCAGGAGGATATAGCTATAGAATTCCAATAAACTTGCGTCTCCACATTGCACTCTTCTGAAATATTGGATTGTGGTGCCTTTCCTACGTGTCTACATTACGCAGCATGTCATCCCTATTGCATTGTCCATATAGTTATATCCTGCACTTCTCCTAACCCCTCTATATACATGCTAACGT